CTGAGCCGCGATATCGTTTCAAGTGACGAGGATACACGGACGTTCAACTGACAGGTTGTCGTAGCTGTCTCGCTAACGGTGACTGGCTTTTGCCGCTGCGGCATCTGCTTCAACGCGAAGGGGCGAAGGGACGGCAGCGCATGACGGCAGCATGATGACCCATTATGCTGCCGTATTTGTGTCCGGGTCCGGCAGCCGGCAAGCTTATATCTCTCCTGATAACACTATGTCGACTTGGCTGCCCGCCCCGCCCAGCTGATTGATGTCAGCCCGCGAGCCTAGATTACTACTCTACCTGCCGCCGCCCGTTGCTTGAGTTGGACGTGTGCCAGCCAACCCGCCCGGCAGTCAGCCAGCTAGCCAGCCCGCCAGCCACCGAACAACCAACCGTTTAGCCAACCAGCAAATGGGCAGCCAGTCTCCGGCCCGATCGAGCAGCAAACGGCGGACTCGGAAAGTGACCCGTGACTTGCTGTCTTGCCGTCCCTTCGGCCAGCGCACACATCCCGTGCCCGCCGCCCTGCACGTCATGTTTGCCCTGTCGGTGTCTTTATCGAAGGAGCTGTACGTGCTGGCGGTCACGGCCTCCGCTGTCTTCTGACCAAAGAGAAGAAAAACAGACGAGGTAGATAAAAGAAATTGTCGGATGACATAACGGCGAATTGTTCCGAGTAAGATTACGTCGTTAGTAAATAGCAGACGCACATGTTGACTAACAAACCAACGATTTATGTCCATCCTCCCGTCCTTTCACCCTCCACCCTTTTCTCGCAGGTAGAAAAAAAAGGAGGTGCAGGCGCTGAGTCAGGGAGGAAGACGTCCCCGCCGTTGTTGCCATCCCACCCATAGTGTCCAAGGGGCGGTTCGTTCGCTCCTTCGCCGTTCGTGTTGCGTCATCGGTCGAACAGGGGGGGGGGGAGCTGATGGTTTTGGGAGTTGCTATGGAGTGACTTTTAAGAGAGTATGGGAGGAGTCCGTACGATTGCGGGAGCCAACGGGAGAAGAGAGTCATAGGCGGTGGTCACTGTCAGATAGTGATCGCTGGAGTAAGGTACGGGCAAGTCCAGTGGCGGTGGTCAGTCCGAGCCGGCGAGGAAGGAGGAGGACGGTTTACGCGGGAATAACCGAGGCCGAAAAGGGCGGGGAAGCGCAAGCAGGTTAGGAAGAGGTAGAGAAGGTAGTAGGAAAGAGGCCTAGCCGGGAGAATAGATCGATGGAAAAAGATAGAAATATATAAAAAAAAGGTATAGATAACCGGTAGATAAGTCCGGGTATATCAGTAGACAGCCAGGGCCGCGAGTAGATAGTCTAGAGTGCGCCTGAGTCCGGAGTGTGGGAGATGAGCCCCAGATGAGAGCGATGATGTACGGTGGCCGAGCTGGACCGGTCCTGCTGGCGGCCCACACAGTCTCTACAGCACGCTACAACGCACTACAGGATACTCCATTGCCAGAGCACATCTCGGATTCCTAATGGGTTTCCCGTCTTTTTTTTCCTTCGCGCCACCGGGGATTCTCGTCTGTGAGATGTCCTCTCTTTGCCTTGGCTTTTCTTGTCACATGCAGTCATTGCAGTCCTTTCGGCCTGTCTGTTTTCTTAGCTTCTTTCTTCGTTGCTGAGGGGGACAGGGTCGGGCGGACTCTGGGCAGGACGATGGTCTTTTCCCTCAGCCTCCCTTGCATCCACCGGTCTCCTTGTTCCTCCTCCCCTCTCCCTTGCTCCCCACCTTCTCCTCTGGCTCCTCCACCCACCTCTCCTTGCTTCTCCACCCTTCTCTTGCTCCCCCGTCCTTCTGTTGCTCCTCCACCCATCTCTCCTTGCTCCACCGTCCTTCTGCTCTCTCCTCCCCCATCCTTCTCTTCCCTTTTCCGCGTTTCTCTCCTTCCACTACGCTTCTCTCTTTTCCTCCTCCTCCACTTCCCTCTCTGTCTCCCTTTCTTCTCCTCTTCTTCTTTCTTTTTTTCTTCTTCCTTCTTCTTCTTCTTCTTCTTCTTCTTCTTCTTCTCTTCTTCTTTCTTCTCTTCTCTTCTTCCTTCTTCTCTTCCTCTTCTTTCTTTCTTCTTCTTCTTCTTCTTCTTCTCTTCCTCCTATCCTCCTCCTCCTCCTCCTCCTTCCTCCTCCTCCTCCTCCTCTCCTTCCTCCTCCTCCTCCTCCTCCTCCCTCCCCTCCTCCTCCCCTCCTCCTCCCTTCCTCCTCCTCCTCCTCCCTCCTCCTCTCCCTCTCCTCCTCCTCCTCCTCCTCCTCCCTTTCCCCCCTCCTCCTCCTCCTTCCTCCTCCTCTCCTCCTCCTCCTCCTCCCCCTCCTCCTCCTCCTCCTCCTCCCCCTCCTCCTCCTCCTCCTCCTCCTCCTCCTCCTCCTCCTCCTCCTCCTCCAGCCATCTCCCCCCTCCTCCGTGCCCCCCTTTTCCCCCTCTGAAAAGGGAGACGATCAAGTTACCCGTTTATTGGCCGTTCGCTGCGGTGGCGTGTGGGTGCGATGCCGTATAGCGGTGGCGTGCTGCTACGTTCGAGGGGCAAGGGGAGAGGGAGGGGAGGGGGGATCGTAGGTGAAGAAAATCGTAGTTATTTACACCTTTGTTCAGCCGTAAGGGGACGTGATTCGAAAGATGGTGGATGATGAGGATGATGATGGATGATGGATGATCATATTGATGATGATGGTTATGACGATAATGAGGAGGATTAGGAGGAGGGAAAGGAGGAGTGGAGGAATAATGAGGGAGAGATTGCAAGGCAGCAAAATGATGCAGCGGGAAAGTAGAGTAGTGCTCTACTCACGAGGTCATTACGAATGAAACGTTATAGAAATTCAGACTAGAATGATTGCCTTGAAACAGCTTCGTTAAGTAATGGATGCCAGGGGAGGAACGAGGAACAGTCGAATAGTAGAAAAAAATAGACGAAGATAAAGGGAGATAAGATAAGTGATGGGGGAAATGGAATGGGAAGAAGTGAATGATTAAAAAAAAGCTGAGAAGGGAACAAGATGGGAGTATGAGCATTTCGTGTTTGCGTTGAGTAGAGGAGCGGCGGGCGCGAGGGAGCGCAGAGAGGGAGCGGGCAGGGGTGGTGTGCAGTCATGAGCCAGGACAAGTGTATGGCGTGCGGCGGGAGGGAATGGTGGGCGGGAAGGTGTAGGGTTGGATCGGGGGGCGTGGGGGAAGGGGGAGGCAGGAGGTCCACCAGCGGGCAGGTCAGCAGAGGACACCCACCCCGGGCCACTCCCTTCCTCGCCCTGCTGCCCCTCGCGTCAGGCTCCTCCTCCTCCTCCTGTGCAGGATAGCAGTAAGAGCATGTTCCTGCCGGCGGCTATGCAGAGCCCACGCCAAAGGATCCAGGCCTATGGGCGTCCCTTTATCTCCCATGGCGCGAGAATCCCCCAGGCGCTCCCATTAACCCTGAGGCTCAGCATGTCCTGCGAAGGATGCATTGGACACACAGTCACCAGCGAGAAAGTGTATAATCGAGGACTGATCATGAAGGATTCCCGAGGGAGGTGCCGTTGTCATCCTCTTGCCCTTGTCAGCCTTAAGATTCGGGGAAAGAATTATTCGTTTCCATATAGTATCCTTTTGCACACTCACGTAATAACTTTCTGCTCTCGGTGCACCATTTCTCCGGAAAAAGGTTTAGTTCTTAAGATGAACGTCACACACGCGCGCTCCAGAAGCAAAGAACCCGCGACTGTGCAGACGGGATCCCTATGCAAAACAGCGCGGCGGTAGTCGTTCCCCTTTTGGCACATTTCACGGTAGAGGTGAGCGATGGCGTGGGGGTGCCGCGGGCCAGACGACCTGTTACATTCTGCGGCGTCCGTTGCACCTCGGTAACCATACGCTCCTTGCCCTGAACGTGTACTTACCGGACCCCTCTCCCCCCTTTCTCCGGATCCCTCAACTCCCCTGCCTCCCCCTGCCCCTGGTTACTCGAGAGGTCCTCTAGAGTCCATTACTTCTGTTGATTTATTCTAACATGTAGTGCCTCGCTCTTTCTGCGCGCTGCGGGGGACTCCCTAGCCATGACTGCGTGGCCGTGCTCCGCGGGAGTGCGTGCCTGCGCGGGGAAACTTGCTCTCCCGTTTTCTGGGATTATCCACCAGGGATCCGATGGGCATGTGTGTACACAGCTGTTGGCATTTCTGTATTTCAGCTGATGTGGTTTGTCTTCACTTCTTATGTTGCTGTTCTTGTTCTTGTCATCATTTCTGTTGATGTTGGTATTTTTCGTACTCTTCTTTTTGTTATTATTACGATACTATTGATATTATTTTGTTATTATTACTATACTATTGATATTATTGGTTATTTATTGTTAATGTTTTTTTGTTATTTTATTATTACTATTATTACAATTTTTTATATTAATTGTTATTACTATTACTATTATTACGATTGTTATTACTATTACTATTATTACAATTGTTATTACTATTACTATTACCACAACTGTTATTACTGTTACTATTATTGCAAATGTTATTACTATTAGTATTATTACCGTTATTGTTAAGATATTCTTTAATTCTAAAAGTTGCTATTATTTCTTTACAAAAATATAGTTTTTTATTGTAAGCTGTAGTATATATTACCAATCGTTCCTCATTTACAGTACAAGCGCAATAGGATCAGGCCAATTTATATTCAAGACTTTAAAGGCGCTGGGAACGATATAGACAAATGAAAGTATTTAAGGGTTTATCGACTCTGAACGTTTATTTTTGTTGCATATTGATATAGGTTGTTTATATGAATTCCTTGTCGGAGGTAGAATTTGTTTTTATGCTTCGCTGAGCTTAGAGAGAGAAAAAAGTCCCTCAGTATAAATTTCAAACTCCATCGTTCCTTGAGAAGAGCGAGAGATAAAAAATCCACAATAAGTCAGAGGCAAAGAGTTCGTGGTCAGGAATTGCAAATGCCTGCAATTGCGATAAAGACCGGCCTGCACGACGCCGCCCTCTGCGAATGCCACGATGAATAACCACGACCGCTGTTCCTGTTGCAGGTGTCCAACTTGAGGAAGGTGCTGCAGGGCATCGTGGATTACTTCCAGGAGCAGCTCAACCAGAACATCAAGCACTTCCCGCTCCCGGACCTCAACAAAATAGGTACGTCAGTTCTCCGTCGGCCGCAGCACGCCTCCCCTCGGGCGGCCCGCCAGCGCCGCACGCCCCGGCCTGGCACGGTGCGGCACTGCACGCACGCTTCTGGCTTAGCAGCATCATTGGTGTTGTTATGATCATCATTCATATAATTATAATAATAATAATAATAATAATAATAATAATAATAATAATAATAATAATAATAATTATTATTATTATTATTATTATTATTATTATTATAGTAGTAGTAGTAGTAGTAGTAGTAGTAGTAGTAGTAGTAGTAGTAGTAGTAGTAGTAGTAGTAGTAGTAGTAGTAGTAGTAGTAGTAGTAGTTAGTAGTAGTATAGTAGTAATAGGTGTGGTTGTAGTTACAGTAATCATCATCATAGCATCAATGGTCATCGTCATCATCAATAATCACCATCAATCCACATAATCATTTTGACTTTACACAAGAATATAACCCTTGTTAAGGATTCGTAAAAGGGCGTTTTGAATCGCTCCCATTGCATTTATTCGTCAGCTGTTCAGATGGTGGACCCGTTGGCAGAGATAAGGTCTGACCTCATGCAGCAGGGTACGACGGTGGACTGAGGAAAATTAAACAGCTGGAATTTATTTTATTTTCATCCACTTGGGCGCCAGCTAAAGGAAATGCTGCTAACAGGAAATGCAAAAGGCGAAGAAAGCCGATTGTGATGAAAACGGATTCATGTTGTTCAAAAGAAAACGGAAGAAGTAGTCGGAGGCAGCGGTAGAGCGGCTGGGCGAACAGCGTGCAAAATTACATCTTTCGACACACGAAATGCCACTTGCAAGGTTGCCGCCGCGGTGCCCAGTCCCGAGGGGGGGGAGCAGGGGAGGGGGAGAGGTGGTGGCGTTGGGAGGTGGAGGAGACTGAATGGAGGAGGGGCGTATGGGATAGGGGAGGGGTTGGGGAGGACGGGAGGGGGTGGGCTGACTGAATGGAGGAGGGGGGCATATGGAGGATTGGGGGAGGTGGGAGGGTGGAGGAGGGGAGGGATTGGATGGTGGGAGGTGGTGGGTGAGGGGGAGGTTCCTGGAGGGGGTGAAGACTTTTTTCTATAAAGGCGCGAGTGACTCATGCTAGGAAGGACGGCCTGCTTGAGGTCGGGGAAGAGGAAGGGGAAGAAGTAGAGGAAGAAAGGTGGAGAGAGAAAGGACGAGGGAGAAGAGGGAGGTTTGGTGGGGGAAATTTAGAGGAGAAGGAGAGGAGGGGCATCAAGGAAAGGGGGAAGAATGAAGGAGAAAAGGGGACAAATGAGGACGCAGAGAAAGGGGAAGAAGGGGATGAGGCTAGAGGAGAGAGAAAGATATAACGGGTTAAGGAGGAAACGAAAGAGAAAGTGGAAGTGAAGAAAGAAGGGATAAGGGGAAGGTGGTGTATGCATAGAAAGAGGAAGAGGAAGAACGTGAGGAAAAGAGGGTAGAAGCATAGGGAAAATAACTTTTTGGTTCTTGATATCCACTGAGAAAAGAACCACGACTAAGAATTGGGAAGTGGAAGCGCATGTGGATAAAATACGTGGATGGCGTAGGAGAACGGAGGAAAAGCCACGCGAATTGGCCGAGGTGGAAACGAATGGATGTAATAAATGGACGACGTAGTACAGAGAGTGAGAGTCGAGTGGAATGGAGAGGTGGAGACGGCCGTGGACGGAATACGTGGATGATGCATAAGAGAGAAAATGAGAGCGCGGTGGGGAGAAGTGGAGGCGGCCGTGGGTGGAATAAGTAGATGACGCAGAAGAGAGAATGAGAGCCGAGCGGAGTGGAGAGGTGGAGGCGGCCGCGGATGAAGTATGTGGATGACGTAGGGGGTGATGATGATGGCGGCGAGGTGGAAGGCAGGGAGTATCGCAGATTACACAGGCCGGTGATTTATGCGTCATTAACGGGTAATTGGACGGGCGGCGTCTCAGCAGGTGTGTGACCGAGTGGGGGCGAATGGGGGTGGGTGGGTGGAGGGGGAGGGGGGCAGAGGATATCATGGAGAAATGGAAGGTTGAGAGTTTGATCTTGTTATTTGATATCTCTTTCTCCTCGTTTTTGGGTTCTGCTTCGTCGTTTTTTTTAATCTTTTCCTCGCTTCTTTCCTTTTTCCTTCCTCAGTTCTTTCTAATCTATTCCTTCTCTCTTCTTGCTTTCTTTGTCTTTTCTTTTGTCTCCACTTCTCTTTCCTTATTTCTTTCTTTCTCTCTCTCTCCTTCATCTTCCCTCCTCTCTCTTCCCTTTCTTCCCTCCTCCTCCTCTCTTCCCTCCTCTCCTCCTTCCCACTCTCTCATCTCTCCTCTTTCCACTCCTAACACCTCACTCCTTCCTCTACCCTCTTTTCCTCTTTCCTCTCCAATCTTCCCTTCTCCTTCCCACAGAAGCCACCCAGAAGTCAAGTGAGTGACATCCTTTTTCGTCGCATTCTTAGTCTTATTACCGCCTTCCCCCCTTTAATTCGCCCCCCCCCCCCCCTCTGCCTCATGCTGTTTGCCCTTCGATACTCCCTCCTGGTCCCACACTCCTTTGCCCTCGCTCCCGAGCCGCCCCATAATTCTGCTTAACCCTTTGACTTCTGGGTGACCTCGTGTGCCCCCTCGCTGCTGCTGTTTATTTGTGTGTGGCATGTATACAGGCCCAGGTACACACGCGCACCTCTATCTTCCGTGAACGCGAACATGCAGACGCACACGCACGCACGCACACGCGTGCACGCACAAAATCATGCACAAACATAGACGCGCACAAACAAATACGCACGCAAACAAACACGCACAAAAATAAACGCGCACACAGACAGACATGCACACAAAAACATGCACACAGACAAACACGCTCACAGACAAACACACGCACGCACAGACAAACACGGCACACAGAGAAACACACATACAAACAAACACGCACTCAGACAAACGCGCACACAAATACTCACACACTCACTCACTCACTCACTCTCTCACTCGCACGGCCGCATATATATTTATGCATGACGTACACATTTGCAAATATCTTTACGGCAAACTGTTAAGAATTCTTTGTTTATACAGAGATAGAAGGTTAGATGACCAATCATAAAATCCGACCATCGTTTTAGCAAACATGAGGCGATGTTGTAGAATTTGAAGAGGCAGGAGTATATGCATTAAGGAAAGGGAAAGTGAATGGGGTATGGAAGGGAAGCGAACGCGTTTATATGGAAAGGCAAAGGGAAATGAATAAGGAACGAGAAGAAAGGAGGGGGTGCGAGCATATTCGCAGGTAGGGCACGTTTTGGCAAGGCCCTTTCTTTGCCAGAATTTCTCATTGCCATGTAGGGAGTTGTAGGAAGGTCTAAGTAAGGGCATGCACACTTAGATATAATGGGGGGGTAGGGGAGGGGGGGTTGGTAGGGAGGATTGGGAGGGGGGGGGGTGGGTGGGAGGGGTGGAGGGAGGGGAGGGAAGAGGAGGGGAGGGAGGTGCAGGTGCTCGGGGTCAGAGTTAATCACTGGACTAGACACTAGACAGTACGCCTGACCCCGGCCTCGTACCCCTCCACCCCTCTCCTTCTTGCTTGTCTGTCTTCCCCTTCATCCCTCCCCCCCCTGTACCTTCACCTTGTCCCCCTTCCCGTTCATCCTGTTCCTGCCCCCCCTTTGTCCCTCCATCTTGCCTCTCCCCCTTTTCCCTTCCCTATCTGCCTCTTCCCTTGGCCCATCTCCTTCTTCCCCCATCTCCTTCTCCCTCCCTCCCTCCCCGCATTTTCCCCTACACTCTGAACTACCTCCTACTTATCCCCTCCCCAAAGCTCCTTCCCTCTTATCCCCCTTCCTCTCTCCCTTTCCCTCTTCTTCCTTATCCCCTCTCCCCTTATCCCCCTATCCCCTGTCCCTCTATCCCTCCTCCCCTTATCTCCCTATCCCTCTATCCCTCCTCCCGTAGAGCCTACCCGACCATTGACTAGCCCAAGGTGAACCGCCACTCATCCGAGCCGAATCGGCCGCCGTCCGCCGCGAGAGGAAGGCCGGAGAAAATCGCCAAAACAAGAACATCTGAATGCGCAAGCCGAGACGAGGCGTTCGTTGTGTGGGTTTCATTGTAGTATCGAGTCGATCGTCTGGGGGTAATGATGAGTTGGTTTTTGTTTGTGTTTGTTTTCTTTTTCTTTTCTTATTTTCTTTTTTTTCTTATTTTTTCTCTCTCATTCTTCCGTTTTTTAGGGTTGAGGGATACGTTATCTGTCTCGGTAGGGCCGAGTATGAATTACCAATAAAAACCAAAGAGGGGCTGGAGGAGGCTGTCTGGTAGGCTTAAAACCAAGGGGCGGGCGGAGGGAAGGCAGAGTGGGCCAAGATAAGGCGGCGTAGCCACTAAGACGTTTTGGCCGGCGGGAAATCTGGAGGAGGGGGAGGGGGAGGCGGAGGAGGAAGTGGAGGAGGAGGAGGAGCTCCGTCCAGACTGAAGATCGAGATTAGGGCGAGTTTGCAGATTAGCGGATCTTTGATGCGCCGTGGAAGCTGGGCCAGGCTTGTTATAATGGCCACAAGCGGGCTTTACAGCGGCTTTGTTTCGAAACTTCTCTGCTGTAATGACCGCAATTTATGCAAAGCTTAAAATTCCCACATTTTTACAGCGGTGCATCCTTTAGTGTCCGAAAAATTCCCACTACTTAACATGCCATTAGCATCAGCCTTTTACTGTTACTCGAACAAGATAACATCAACAAAAAGAAAAAAAAATAGTATGATGAATTATTCAACTTCTTTATGCTATGATCATCTGGATTAATAGCTTCCTGCCAAATATGGGACATTAGTTATGAGAAACAAACAAACAAAAAACGTCAACCACCGGCCTTGACTGTATCACTTCTATTGTTATTGTTAGCAGACGTGATCGCAAGGGTTAGGGAAACTCCTTTGTTTAACAGTAGTTTAACAATACTCCCATTTGGTATTAATTGGGAGTAATGCAACTCGTGTAATTGTATATCAATTTTTCCAAGAGCGT